TGATGGCATCGTCCATGATGGAACGGACCTGCTGCTGCTCGAGCGTGATGTGTGGCTGGCTTGACGGGGTTCCCATGCACGCAGGGCCGTCGGGTATCCGCTCCATCCTGCCCAGAGCCTCGCGGGCTGCTGCGACATGAGCCCACAGCGGGTCGGGGCCCAGCTGGGAGGCTGGCGCAGGGTCGGGCTCTACACGAGGCTCATCCTGATCTCCATGGTCTGCTCGTTGTCGGACAGGCCGAGCGGCGGCGCCTGCTGCCACGAGAAGAGGCACTGCCACCCTGCCTCTCTTGACCGCACTCTTGACTAACTTGCCCTGGAGCCCTTGGAGACGACCACGGCACTCCTGCAACTGAAAGGCCGCGAGGCGAGTGCGGGCAATCTTGCCGCAGCTGGTGCACTTGGAATAACCGCGGCACACTTCCAGAACGTGCGGGTGCCTGGGACCAGCCTGAGGTCGCGCTGCCTGCGGAATGTTGGCCTCTTGGCCCTGCTGTCGTTTGGGCCTAGGCTCCGCCAACTTGACCCCGTCGAGGAGGACCCTGAAATGCCCGATGTACTCGAGCACGCGCTTGGTGGCCTTGAGCTCCTGCTTGACCTGCAACGTGGCCCACTCTGGCGGCGCGCTGAGGTCTGCCCCTTGCTTGGCCCATTCGTCTGCTAAATCATTGTGCTTCATATGAATCTGGACCTCCTCTGGCAGCTCTAGACGTTTGGCCTGCGATATGTGCGAGGTGACTTTGATGACAGACAGCTCTCTGCCAGGAAGGATGTCCATGTCGTCCAGGCGGTCCCAGATCTCGAGCCAGACGTGCGCATAGGGCCTGGCCGAGGAGCAACACCATGCCCTGCCACGAGCCAAGCCTTGGACCACCTGGGCATTGTCAATGATGATGGCCGTGATGAAGACCGCATGCCTGAGGGCGTGGAGGAGACCCCACAACTCTGCCAGGACCGAGCTGGGGTCGGGAAAGGGCAGTGGGCCGTACAGGCCCTGCACCACGTCATCGGCCTCCGCTGTGCACTGCAAAGCCGCCCAGCCGCCGTGCCTGAGGTCATCCAAGCCTTTGACTGATCCGTCCGACACCAGCACATCGGTGAGCTCGGGGGCCGCGCCATTGACGATCCAATAGGTGCGCTGCGACGGTAGACTCCAAGCCAAGCCGTAACATGGGGTCCGCCGCAAACCCCGCTCCCATAGCCACCTTGAGGCTTCCGACGAGGAGGCCGACACGCCCAGGTGGCCGACGTCTCTGAAGGTAGGTGATGCGTCGTGGGCTGTCAGCTGCTCCCTTACTGTAGCACACGTCGGGCTGCCGCACCGCCAGTAATAGTGCTGGTGCGTGCCGAAACAGGTCGTGTCGTCGCACAGCTGGCAATACGGAGTGTCCGCCTGGCCCGACAAGAAAAGAGCCTCCTGCGAAGGGAAACCTCCCAGCACCGCCTTCTTGACCGCGTCGGCATGGTGCTGCAGCCACCCGTCCTGCTTGCGTCGCTTGACCAACTGCCTCGCTGGGGTGAGCCACGGCGCTGGCAGGAGCGCAGCCCGCTCGGGCTGGGCCGCCGCCCACTGGCACAAGGCTCGGGAACGGGCGGCCAACAGCACGGCGGCCTCAACGGACTTGGGGCAGATCTGCAGTAGATCCAGATGTACGTCCCCTCCTTGGAGCACTCCGCCACGTGGAGGCAAGACAATCTCAAAGGCTGATGGCATGCTCCACCCATGGGCTCTAACTGTGACCGAGGTGGCCCCCGCTGGGCCGCGCACCACTGACCACAACTCCTGCGCGTCGGCGTCGATGTACAGCGCGAGCTGTTGCTGCACTCGGGCCCATGCCGTGGCCTGCGCCCGTCGCCCCTCTGGGTGGTCCCAAGCTTCCCTGGCCCAGGCCAGCAGCGGCGCCAGAACGAGGGCGTCGGCACAACTGGGGTCGAGGCCGTCGTGCAAGACTCGGGAGGTAAAGGCTGTGGCGCCTCTGCGGACGGCCCGATCCTTCTGTTGGATGAAACGCACGATGGGCCTGGGCGTGCCACGGACACGTGCACCGTAGGCGACCGAGGCTCCGAGGCCCTGCCGCACGACCATCTTGAGCTTGCCCCCGCGTGCACGAGGAAGGCCGCGTATCTTAGGCCAGCGCTGCATGGCTATCTTGAGCCGCGCGTGTCTGACTGGGGCTGACTGGTTCTCTGCCTTGACGCTGGGACCGTAGTCGATACCGAGCCACCGCTCAGAGGTGCTGGGCGGCACTCCCAGGACGGCCATGGCCTGCGTCAAGCCTGAAGACGGAGTGGCCGTTTGCAGGAAGGAGCACTTGCCTCTCGCCCCGTCCCGCGCTCGGGCTACCTCCAGGCCCAAGAAGGACTCTAGCATCCAGAACAGCAAGCGCGTGGCCTGCGGCAACATGTGCAAGACGCGCGCCTCGGTGGACATGACCCGCAGGGCGATGTCATCAACGTACAAGTAGATCGTGAGGCGGAAGACCCCCAGCAGGTCGTCTAA